CGTACACAAAAGCCTCAAGGACATCCCCGCAGACACACACGCGCACGCGCACGCGCCGCAACAAAACGTACTCGATAACTGCCTCTCTGTAGCCAGAGTTAGTCGAAACACATTATTAGCACAAGAAAATTCAGACAGATTAAACGAAATACGATCCTATCAAAGACCATTAGAATACGTCCCCAATGACGTCAGCTCCCACGACGTAGATCGAAGACCGAAACAAACTAATCTACTCCAAGATTTGAAAACGGAGAAACCGAGATGGGGTATACGAAAGTTCTTCGAACGTAAACTAGGAAGAGCCGCCAAACCTCTAGAAACTGAAGTGAAATTGATCGCCGAAGGATCGGCTAATAGTTCGTTACAAAATGGTAGAACAAAAACGTCCTTAATAGATAAACCGAACAATATTACATTCGATAGACCGACAAATTTAGTTCTAAATCAGAGCGGGTCATACAATTTCGAAGGACCGTGCACTCTATCACCACCAAATCGAACTTTATCGCCCACCATGATGATGGAATCGGAAAATCGAGATAGGGTCTTCAAAGAATTGCCTTCGAGAGACGAAAAGGAGTCTAGGAATCAAATATTCGCAGTCATAGTTCCCAAAGCAAAACCCGCCGATGTTGGAAATATGAGCAAAACATCGCGAGGAAGCTCTGAAAGTTTAAACAAAAATTCAATTCGTACTTCCATGTCCTCGCAGAGTAATTTTAAAGCAGGCAATTCAGAGTCTGAGGATTCTACAGCGAAGAAGAGACTCAGCTGCGATAATAGAATCATATCTAACTCATCAAACAGCGGAAGATCTTCTAGAGCGAGTATTAATCTTGAACTTCAGTACATCGATACTAATCACACGGAACAGAATAGTCCTTTCGATATAAATTCAGATTGTTCGAGCAGCGAAGACGAGAATCTAATGCTGTTATCCGAAAACGGCGGCTCAAAAATCACAATGCAGACGATTCCGAAACTCGAGAACGACAAGAAACGTATCCAGAATGAAGTTCTCAAAGAGACGGGTCAAACGAAAACTGATTACGGATTTAACAAGTACGCCAACAAGTATGCCAATTTTGACAACGAATTCAGCGACCCTAATGACAAAGAGAACGCTGTTAACGGATACAGTGGCGATAATCCTGTATATTTAGCCGCTTTGAATGGTGAGATCGATACGACGGATTTTAAATTTCTTACACCACCAACTGATAATGGTGAAAGTAGTCCAAAATCACCGAAACCGTCTTTAAAATCTTTATCTATAAAACGACAACATTCCTTAGAACACGTCAGTGAAATATTCTCGTCATCTGGTAGTGTGAATTTACAAAACCCCGCGGGACGGGTGAAGACGCCCGGGGACTTGCCTGTAGCCGTGCGGCGCGCGAGGCGAGACAGAGCGCTACAGAAAGGCCGTGCGAGTGAATGCAACAGACTGAGTCTATACGATGATAGGATGATGTTCGGCAATAGCTTGTAATTTTCTTCTATTTTAACTTATTGTTAATGAGATACATTTATGTCTGTATTTGTCCTTTTTCTATCGCTGTGTTGTGCGATTTAAGATTTTTTTGTATTCTTTGTGTATATTACGAATTAAGTAACCATTTTGAACAAATGCCGTTTGTGCAGCGAATAAGTTATGTTGTTATATATTTTTATTTAATTTATTTCTGTTTGTTAATCTCATTTTTAAACTATTAAAAATCAAATAATTATTACGTAAATAATTCGAATAATATTTTTTCAATCTCTGAAAAAATACGTCGATATTTTTCAAGAAAATATAAATGTCGAATCAGTACAAAATGCTTAATTTGGAAAATTTTAACATATGAAGATTTTTATTATTTTTCTTTAGTTGACTAAAAAATCAATCTAAAACATATTGTCGATAAAACAAAACATATTAAAACGATATAGTTATTATTGCATATTACTCTTCTAAGCTATAACCAAAATTCTTAGGCACAAATTCATAATCATTTAAAAGTTAACCTTGCTGGCAAAATTCACACAATATCTTATTACATTCTGCCCCTTATATACGCTAGTTATAGGATGTCCCAAAACTCAACATAAAGATGGCAAAGGAGGGCAAAAATTATTTTATAAATTTAAAATTAATTAAATCATATTCCATTCTTAAACATAAGAGGAAAACTATGTTGATTATCATATTTTTTTCTTGTAAGTAATACTATCCATTTGACGTTGGTTTTCGGGACACTCTGTATGCTTTTTTCTGCAGTTAACTTACTACTGGAGTTAATTTAATCGCAGATTTTGATTAGTATGTTACATTGCGTTGACTGTACGAATAGTTAGACGCAAGCTTTATCATATTAAAATAGAAAAGTGAAATCGACATATGCAAATTTTAGTACACTTTATGTTTTAAATGCTGTTTTGCTTGGGATCTTCACAGAGTGTTTTTTTATTAAGATTCCTTTCGACGTAAAATATTAACCCTTAATTCGACGAAATTTTTTGTAGCAAAAAAACTGTTTTTCTTTTAGTAAAGTCATACTTACGTAATTTTCTTTAATCTAGTTCAGTCGATTTTTTTAATTAGTTGTTCATCACACTGGACACCATCGAATTAAGGGTTAAAAAATAGTATATCAGAATTTTTTATTCGTTATTTCTCGACCGAAAATTTATCTCAAACCGATACAAAGTTACTTTCCCCATACATTTTGATTTGATAATATTGATAGTGGAAATCGATGAAAACTTTATTCTATAATTTTGTATTATCTACAATTTCTGCCCTGAAAATTATTAATTCCCATGAAACTACACTTGAAACATATAGTTCTAGTTAACACACGTATAATTATGATATAAGATACACGGAATATTATAAAATATATAGTAGGCCGCGCTTGATTTGGCACGTCGGGCAGAAGTTAACTCTTTTTCCCCGCGTGCCAAATCAAATGGTGGGTACTATAGTTATGTTATTTTTTTTTATTTTTATTCCCACAATACGAGCTAAATAGATAAAAACTGTAAGGTTAAAATAGAAAAGTATTGTTTAGTATAGAAGACCATATGTAGAATTTGATAAGCATATATTATTATTGTTTTTTTTTTGGCACAAGTTTTTGATTTTGTTACATTTTTTTAATTAACTTTTGTTTTCACAAGTACAAAAGCTTGTTGTATATTATTTTTATTGTTAATTAACGATATTAAATTGTGATTTTATTTTGTAAATAGTTAAGTTCCTAACGAGCCATGTTAGTTTTTTTTACTTCGTTGTTAAGTTTACTTTTAAAAAGTGAATTTTTAAGAAACCAGTACCTTATTATTTCCAGGATGTGATTTTTTTTTGTAATATTATTATGTTCAGATATTTAATATGATTAATAAACTTAAAAAATAATTCCATTACACATAAAGTAAATATTAAGAGACAATACGTACGTTGACTTGCAAAAAATTCTAAAAAAAAAAAATCTTGTTTTAAAATTGTTTTCTTTAAAGCAGTTATTTAAATACACAGAATCTGTAATATTTTACATTCAATATGCGTACTGGATCATTTACATTCCGCAATTATACAATTTTTGTGCAAATTCCTGGCAACCCTTAACCGCCTTATATTAAAAAAATAAAAACTTATTCAATTTTAGATCTTATGGCTTATTCATTAAATTTCATAATCATTTGTTTAAATCTTTCTAATCAATGAAATTAAAAATAATTTATTCTTATGATGTAATAATTAAAATGACAATTAAATGGCAATATAAATCAATGTAAAACAATTTATTACATTTTATTTACGGGTTTGCAAATTTTGACTCTTTACTTTCCATATTTTAAAGCTTAACATTATGTGATTATTAAAATATTTTGTTATTTTATACACAATTATAATTAATTTGGTATGTCAACTAGAGATCTGTATTATTATTTTTATATTCGTATTTGTTTTTATGTGGCAACACTTAAGAATATCGATTTAAATGTAACCAGATTTAGAAATTTACACTCCAATATATATTTCTTCGATTTCTATAAGCATCTTAATTCACAAATATTTGTCTATGAAATTATTTTAACAGTTCATAATAGTCAAACCGGGATATCTAAGGGGTTCTGAGGGTTCTTTAAAAATGAAACTGACGCACGACAATCATGTGAATCACTTCGGAGTGAAAGCCCTTTGTCTATTCTCCTGGCTCAATAACAGGTCCTGTATTTATTTCTATCAGAAAATATGTAAAACCTTATCGTGATAGCTACATTAAGGTGAGTATAGACCAGAGCATTTACTTTTAACAGAACAAGCCGCTCTATATGTTCTAGTGTATCACTCTTTTACGAAATACATGTGCTTTGAAAACTGCTTTCACCTATATTATACCATCCGTAAGAACGTTACATGACATAGAGATGTTTGAGAAAATGCTCAGTTGTATATTCACCTTTACGTTAAGGATCTTGTGACACTTGACATTGATAGGAGGGCGCTAGTGTGCTATCATAATTTAGTTTGATTTATGACCAAAGGGTTAGATATCCTTGTTTGTCTATAAATCTTATATTCTTTGTTAGTTCTCGGGATAAATTTGATGTTTATTAAATATAAAAAAAAATTCATGACCGGTATTAAGATTGTTCACTTTACGTTATAAAACGTTGAAATAAAGTATTACGAGTATTTATGGTATTTTTATTTCTCTCGTTCTCTTGTTACTTCAATTAACGACATTCACATAAATGTCAACTCACCTGATGTTTTCATGTAAATTTTACATATTTATGTGGAAATTCCTAGCAATAAAAGAAATATATTACAAATATTATGTACTTTAATTATCTAAATATCACATAAAATAACGCACATAACCAACATAAAACGAATAACACTATACTTATAATGAAAATAAAATCTGAGAATTTTTTTTTATAAAAAAAAAACAGGTAACACTTTTTAATTCTAAATCCATACAATATTAAAAAGCAGGAACTGATTATTTTCAAATTATGGTCCACTTACGGTTTAATTATTTAGGTTTGTTTAATAAAATATCTGTAGATCAGAATTTTCACATTTACAGTCCGTCAAACTTATATGACCCGGTAATCAGACTTGCACTGCGGTTAGTTCTTTCAGAAAATATATGGAAAATTAAATGAGATATAGAAAATGACAAGTGAAATCATTGACACAATGAGAAGAACAGAAAATCTTGTGATATTTTTTATAGAATATATAGGCGCCTATGAGCCTTATGTATTTGAAATCCAATTTTTGCCTACCAGATCTAAGTTTCTCGCACTATACTTATAATTAAATAACGAAAAGGAATGGTGTCTCCTGAAAAAATATTGGTACAAATATTTTAAACTAAAATTTACACCAATTAATTAATTACATGTATTTATAAAAATTGAACATTTATAATTTACAAACTAAAATAAACCAAAACCCCGTAAACGTATACACAAAATGCAACTTTTCTATTTTCCCTTTTATTTTTATATGAAATAGTCTGTAGGATTTTATTTGATTAGCTCCTAGACTATCTTTAAAGTACAAGAGACTCTTATAGTAAGGAAACATGAAAAAAATATTAACACGTTCAGTACCACTGACTTTTATACGAAGAAAACGCAGTGGCATGGAATGTGTTAAAAATGTTATAAAATGTAAACCGATATTTGAATACTTTTTAATATTAGACGGCCATTGAATGTCAAAAAGATACTTAACGTAATAATAAATTCAGAAATTTAAATCAATAAAAACTCACAATAATAAATTAACGTCATTTAAAATAATTTTATATATTATATTTAATATTTCATTCATAATGTAAACAGATTACTATATAAACATCATTAAACCCAAATAACCATTGGTTTCTGAGACCTCTGTATAAAACATATCGTCATCCCTGTCTTTCATCTTTAAAAAACAGAGATAAAAATAACTTTTGAACGGGTATTTCGGTCTCAGAAAACCACGATTAGTGTCAATTACTGTATGGAGAATGTATAAAAACATAAAAAAATCATGACATAATATAACAAGTATAGAATAGCACGATATAGATTAACGAAAAAACATAGACAGTTGTGTTGCTAGCTGTAAACGAAATAACCCAACACGTCACTGTATCGGATACGTCACGTGATATCCATACCATGAGTGTTGCCATTACACAAAAAGCGTCGAACACGAAATGCCTTATCCTAAATCACATAATCCCAAACCTCGTGCCAAAATCTGAAAGTAAAAATGTGTATTATTAAAAAAATTATTACAAAATTTTAAAACTTTTACTAATATTATAAATGAGAAAGTTTAGATTGATGTTTGTTTGAAGATATCTCCAGAACGGCTGAACGGATCTCGATGAAATTTTTACATACATATAGAATTTGGAATACACATAAATAATTTTGTTTTTTTTTTTTAAATTCCGCACTGACGTATTTGCGGGCGACAGCTAGTTTCTTATATAAAACGCTGGGAAAGGTAAGAAGACTAGTGACGTAACGCGGAATAGATTCCACTTGACTATCTTCTGCGTGAAAGCTGTAATATACTGACGTGTTAAGAACGCGTGTGACGCTGGAAGCGTGCCGCGAGACGGTAAGCGAGGAAAGGCCAGAGCGCGAGCACTATCAGTGTGGGCGGACTCAGCTCCTGCCACGGCCAGCGCCATCCCGCACCGCACCGTGATACTTGCTGAACATTAAACACGTGCAATGTCAACTAAATCTTCTGGTAGTACTAACTAAATCGTAGTGGCATTGAACGTGTTAATACAAACACAATGACATCATTCATCATCATCATCAACCAGCCCTTATCCCTATCGAGGGTCGTCACAGTATGTACTACTCCTCCATACATTTCTATCAGCCGTCACATCCGAGTCTACCCCCTTCTAGCTAGATATAAATTATTGACAGGGTCTAAAACTGTTACGAAGTTATGAGAAATCATTATTTCAAACAATTGCTATAAAATGATAAAAATTACTTTACCATCTTTGTCAGATTTGAAATTACAAACTTATTGAGTATCTTACTAATATTATAAAAGCGAATGTTTAAATGGATGGATGTTTGTTCGAAGATATCTCCAGAATGGCTGAACGGATCTCGATTAAATTTGACATACATATATAGTCTGGAAGAACACATAGGCTACACATACTAATCATATTTTTTTTAATACCGCGCGGACGGAGTCGCGGGCGACAGCTAGTGGTAGTATAAAATTAAATAGTTAAACAGTTCATTAAACATTACTAATAAACTCAGAAATTATTTAATAACTTACGTCGAGTAGACGACGGTCCCCTTCAACAGCTTTCCTGAGCGCGGCCACATCAGCCTCGAGCCGGGCCAGCGCGCCTGGCAACTGCTCTAGCACTTTTAAATCTATAAGATACAAACAATAGACATTTAGTTTACATATTATTTTCTTCGATAATTCAGAAATAATATTAAAACGGCAAGAGTATGTTAGGACTGCGCCATATGAAGGGCCGTAGTCTCTGGCTGCCACTCTCGATTAGAGATGTGAGTTATAGTAATATCGAAAGTTTTATATATGCAAAGATAATAGACAGTGTAACCACGCTGTTTTTTTTAATATATAAAACCAACTTAGGCTTTGAAAAAGATACCAGACATGATATGCGATGGCATGGCACATATTTGACTGTGAGCTATTGTACTCTTATGTCTTACGTGTGAGTTGTGAGGTGATCTGATGTGCGTGTCCATTGCTGAGTCGCGGCGCGTGAGCGGCCGGTTGCGTCTCGGGATCGCTCTGCAAATTACAATGCACTAAATGGTAACAATTTTAATGAAGCCAAAAAAAAAACAACTGAATAATCGCTATTTATTACTTTGAAGGAAAATACTAATCCATAACATCAAAATGAGTCACAACTCCTTGTCCTGCTCATTCTTTCCTACTCTAATTCAATTTCTTCTTATACTTCCATCTCTTTCTAACACAAATGTTGATACTCCATGCTATAAATATAGTAAATTGCAATACTAACGTCTACGGTGTCTATGAACTCGTCGTCGGAGTCGTGTCGGTTCCGCGGCGGTGACGCGCTGCGTATCGGAGACGACGCCCCACTCACTGACCGAGAACCTGCAATATAATACTATAACATACTAATACATTTCAAAAACTTATCTCTATTAATGGATAGGCCATTACTTGAAAATAACATCTGTTGGTGTTAAATGACAGTTGATTCTATCTATATTAATAGTTCGAATCCATACCATCGCTATAAACCGCTACTATTAGCTCAAAAATAGCAATAATCATATAGGCACAAAATACAACGTCTTAAAGCCAGTCCATTTATAAAGGTCAGTGATTTCAAACAAGAATGCGTAAACACCCGCGCCATATTGTGACGTCATAAGTATCAAATCGTAAAAAACATAGTTAATATAAAACATACTTATAAATTTGCAATCATTTAAATATTCGTGGTCAAAGAACATATGCAACACGTAGCAATTCATCAAGTTATAAATGGTAAAAAAGAATTATCTTAAGGTCGTTGACATAACAAATTTTATTCTAAAACCGGCGATATTAAATATTCTAGAATTCACTTTGAATTCAGCTGTATGAAAAATCAATGAACGACCACCTCACTCGACCTTAGCAACCAGTTACAGCTGCAAGTTTTCACACATAATATATTCTGTAGTTTACGATGAGTCAAACGTTTACAACTACCTTTCCTAATCTATTCACTACTTTTGATACACTATGAATAGTAAACCAACTAATAAACAGACTTAAAATTATACAACATTTTGTTTTGCCATCGTACCTTTAGGTTACCTATTAAATATACGAGCATTTACATGACTAACCATTCGCGATTGCAGCATAAATAGTCGCACGACTTTCACTTAGTGGAAAAGTGGTTTATATTCATTTACTAACCTATAGGGGTATTGTGTACGGAACGTACGCGGCTGAGCACATCGCCAGCGATCAACTCCAGATCATTGCTCAGACAGCTCGGGTCGTCCTCTTCTAATGACAGGAACGACGCAACATCAGAATTATATGACATTGTCTCGACGATCTGAAGACAAAAATTAAAAATATAATTATTAATATTGACCAAGTATTAAGTTTTTTTTTAATTTTATGATCTGGTAACATAGACCTTTAGGTCATATCTTATTTGGGAGTATTATGTTATTGTTGGCAGTTGCAAGGAAGGTATAGTGTTTAATGCCTTTTTTGGATTTCAACAAACTCATATTCGTTTAAACTTAACTATAAATATATCTTAATCTTTGACTACAAAACGACTTAATTTGAAATATTTATTAGTTTCATTGGGACATTAAAAGGTAAAAACTTACGCAATAGACTAGGTCTTCTTCAAGTACATAAGAGCTTTTTTGTTGCCAGTTGCAAATTAATTGCAATATTTTATTAGTACACGTACAGTGATTACTTACCTTGTGTAATTCGTCTACATATGCTTGCATAGCTTCGTCTTTCGTCATATTGCCTAGTTTGTTCCATGACTCCCACTTCGCTCTGAAACAATAAATGTTTAAATCATTTTAGTTTTCACGTTACAGTCTTCGCGCTTTTAAGCTTATAAGAAGAGATAATCTGACTAATATGCCTATCTTACTAATATTATAAATGCGTACGTTGAGATGAATGGATGTTTGTTTCTTTAAAATCTATTGAGATCTTCAGTACGGCTGTATGGATCTCTCTGAAATTTTGCATAGATGTAAAACAGTCTGGAAGAGCACATAGGCTATTAGGTTACAATTAAGTTTTTTAGGTTCCGCGCGTACGCTGTCACAGGCGACAGCTAGTTTTGAATAAAGGATAAGATTGCTAAAGTATTTCAGCGTCGTCAATAATGCATTCCTGCAGAACTTTTTCTCACATAACTTAAAATCAGCCATGTACTATACTAACACATAACTTTATCTCAAAGTTTTGACAAAATATATAATACTTGAAAAATTTAAATAGTGTAATAGCCGCCATCTTGACGTTCATATGTTTACATTTTAGATTTTCAATTGAAACATCCATGGGTGTCAAATCACTTAACATTAGGCGTCTCACAACTATTCATCATCAGCTCACTATACGTCCCGACCGAGGGGCTCGGAGCCTCTTGACTTCTCACATATCTTTGAATTAGCTCTAGTAAAAACAACAGACTAACCTATTAACTACGTCCCAGAAACCAGGCTTGGGTTTATCACATGGCCCTTCCGTTGCCTGCTTGAAGAAACTGTAGAACCTCAACATCAGCTCATTGCTCGGCTGATATGAACCTGTTGACAAAAGATAGCAAAAATTAATTATAACGCTCGATCTACAATTTAAAATTTATTTTTTAACGTACAAATGTTTCGATAGTTCAATGTATCAGTATTTAAGTCATGGTTTTCAATCATCTACAATACCTAATGCAGGAATGGTGAACCAATGGCACGCGACATAATATTTTGCACACGTCACTAATGACAAAATTCATTAGGTATGCACTACTAAAAAAGTATGCGTATGTACTAAGAGGTGCATACGCCAATGATACCTACGCTACAAAATGTTTACAATAATCACAGTCAAAATAATTTTATAGCACCTCTATGATCTCATTAAATATTTCTTTAGGAAAGTGGCACTTTGCTACGTAAAGGTTCGTCATCCCTGACTTAATGAATTGTGGACAAACATTTTACTAGAATATGTTCATTAAAACTAAATAGTATTGTAAACATTTGTTTCAAATGTAGATAATAAGTTTTAGAATATATCTTTATTTACATATAATTTTATGTTAGTGTATTTCTATTAGTATAGCTCCGAACACTAGAGACTTTAAGTCGCCTTATAATTTAATCGTGCGACTAAAAGTCTAATGTGCGGGGGCCCTTATTGTTATTGTATAGAGTTACTTATTTAAACTATTGTTTACGATAAGTTTGAGACCAATGACACTAGATAAAAACTAAATAGCTATTATTATCATAGATGATGATGTTCCTTGTGTCAGTTAACTTTTTGCAATCATTAAACCCCATTAATATTAGGCCATAGCTGTATAAATTACTTCTTTTTCAAAGTCGCTATATAAAAAAGTTTAACGTAAAATCGTAAACATTTCTATCGATATTAAAACATTTAAATAGTTCTTATTATATTCAATAAACAGAGACTACAGATAAAGATAATGAGTAATTACACTTTGTTTGCATGCATCGGACACGATGGCCTTTGCCCAGCTCTGTAAATGTTTACACACTACAGATTTAAAAAAAAACATTTATTGTAGAAGATTCGAGATTCTAGACAAGATCGAAAACTCTACATCCTCTCTCAAACGCACTGCAACACTTTAGCACCATGTTGATGTCTATGGACAGTGGCATTGACAGTGACATTTTGTTATTTTAGGTAAACGAAGTGATCGCTAGCGCCGATGCCACGTTTGGTTAAAAAAAATCTATGAGAAAGACAAACAATGAAAGGTCCTATAACTTACGAGATACAAGACCTTTGATGACCTTTGAAGAATTCGAATAGATTAAAAATTTATACCTAATCTATTCTATTAAAATGCACGCGTTCAATTTCTTACGGCTCGGGTTCAACGTATCTTTTGTGGTTATTTTCCACTAGTTTGCTGCTAGATACATTAAAAGCTCGATACAATATAGAATTGTTATGCACATTTTTGTTACACAATGAAATATTAAATTGTGTGTAAATATTATTTAATTACAAATCGTTTATTTACTGTCGTGATTAAATTATGACTATATATATGTTTTTGAATTTGCATGTGCCGTGTATATCAATGAGATTTATAAAACTGATTATGTATTATATTTATTTTTTATTTATAATACACTAGCTGTAACCCACGACTCCGTCTTCCGTGTCGTACTTCCAGACTGTGTTCTACATAAATGCCAAATTTCATCAAGATCAGTTGAGCTGTTCTACCTACCTTCTAACATCCATCCATCTAAACTTTTGCATTTTAATATGTAAGTAGTAATATATATATTTTGCTTAGGAAATTACACTTACACTTTAACATTTACCGAATCGAGAAAAAAGCTATCAGCTTGTTACCTAAATATTTAGCATTGAATTTCAATAATAAGCATAATCTAATGAAATAAATTTATTACATAAATTTCGAAATCATTATCACTGACAATATATCATTTAATCTTATCTTTACATTACAAAACAACACTCTGTTATTAAATGCAATAAAAAAAAAGATTTACAAACAACAAATCTTTTTTTTATTGAAACAAACAAGAATATATACGTGCATAAATAACTTGCTTTCACTGTTTATTTCGGCGATGGATGTTGTTATGCAAGAACTACGAAGGTTAGGCGCCATATCCAGTATAATTCCATGACGTTTGATCGACCATTAACATTGTGAACACCCTTAGCATAGAGATACGAATATAACGAGTTTTTTTTTCTTCCACACTACTATGTAGGCATCTACCATTCAGGATTCTGCCACAGTCTAATATAACTAGTATTAGAGCGAATATAACAAACAGTAGCGATAGTTGCCACTGAATAGACAAAAGCGCGTATCAAAATTATAAAAAATAAAACTTACATCATAAAAAAAAGAACATTCTCAAACAAAATGCACTAAAAAGTAACAAAATAATGTTATGAATACCCGAAAGTAAGACATTTCTCTTCTTTCTTCTAATATTTTAGAATTGTTGTTATTTCGGGATCGATGTCGGCCGAATTAAATTAGTGACATTTTATATCTGAGATGTATTAGACCTATTAACGTTTAAGTTAATACCTAGACAGGAACCGACTCGAAAAAAAACACGAATTATTAACCTCCTTGAGCCTCTTTTTGAAATCAGCGAAAAATAATGTTATTTAGTATCGTTTAAGTTCTGTTTATGTCCCGTCTATTGATTTATTTGTAAAATATCATTGACCCTAGCTATACTTTCTTCAGTATGATTGCTTTAAATGAAAGTACATACATTATTGTATGTGGTAACCATTTGGCAGCCAATATCAGTATACTTAATCCACTGTGCGTATAATTATCACATAGCATTCTATAAACATGGTAACCGTTACTAAAGCGAAGTCTTTAATTATTTATTACATCGGAATATGGCAACTTACTATTGTTAGGAAGAAAATTGGACACTGTGCCGGTGTACTGGCACAACACTAGCCTTACTAAAATGGCAACGTTTATGTCCCCTCACTAATGATTCTGACACTTGACTTTGTAATGTATTCTCGCCATTCTCGCCAAAGGATTCTAATTAATAATGTCTAAAACTATATTAACTCTCTGTTTAATAATACATTCAAAGAAATTGTTACCAATTCCTCTAAACTATCACATTTATTTAATTAAAAATATTAATCTTACGCGAAAGTTTAGACAGATGGGAGGATGTTTGTTAGAAGATATCTCCGGAACGGCTCAACATACAAATCTTGATGAATTTTGGCACAGATGAACATAGTCTGGACGAACACATATCTTATTTATTAAGTTTTTTTTTAATTCCACTAGGACGGAGTCGCAGGCGACAGCTAGTTTACAAATATTTTAAGTAATAATTTGAACCAAACTTTAGTCTTTTACTAAGATATGGTTCAAGAAAATACTTCAATGACGAAATTCGAATCCTTGGTTACGAGATGACATGTACATAACCTTAACCATTAGGTTATAGGCGATACAAAGAATCAATAGATCCTTACAAGATCCATTTGCTTTGTTGATATATGTAAGTCTAATGTATGACAAAATAACATTTGTGTTTGACAAGTTTGAGTAAAATATTACAGAACTGTGAGAATATTTACATAGAGATATCTTTACAATACTAAGAAAGTAAATAGGTAAAGGCGCTTATGCAAACTATCGGACTCACAGAGACAACGGAATACGTAGTAGTAATTTATTGAAAGTGTACCCAAGATAATGTAACCAGTGCCGTTAACAATACACATTTACTTATGTAGTTGTATTCAATTATTTATTATCTGTTTCATTCTCTCGTTTTTGTGTTATTTAAAATACTGATTGTGCTCCAATACCACCGATCCCCATCGTATATTGTTCATATATCTGTTTTCATAGTTGCGTCTAAAAAGGTTGACATATAAAAACATTGGCTGATTTCAATCCAAAATAAAAAATAAAAATATAACGTTACTTAAAGCAGAAGATAAGCAAAAATTTTTTTCTTTAAAATATGAAGTCTAGGTTTATACGTCATTGGACATTTTGATAGTTTTGGAAAGTACCAAGATAATGGTCAGTAACTGGTAGAAAGTGTGCGTAAAAATTAAAAAAAAAACTGATACGTCAAACGCACAACTCTATCGTTAATACAATTCATATCTGGGTCAGCCCTGATGACATGAAGCCATATTACATCGATAACTTGCGTAACTTTAAATCGGTCAACATCGGCTTATATCCGTTCATATAATGTACACAAATACTCACTTGGAAGCCAAATCTAATCTTCTTCCTCTCTCATCTTTTTTGTAGTGGTGTAAAGAATAAAGTGGATGTGCAGACTATATAGTAGTATGCATTGTTCAATGCGGTGTTCGCTTGTCAGTCAATATTACAAAAAAAGGAATATCCACTTTATCGTTTATTCCTTCTCCTCTCATATAGGTAGACAAAGTATCAGGTGAAACGCGTGCTCATTTTCCATATTAGAAAAACATGTCAAAAACATATATCTTTGAAAAAACTGCTTTGCTTCGATATGAGACTTTTTACAATTTAAAATATATTATCCCCATACGTACATTTTTATGCCTATATCGTATTATAACTTTGATTTTTATTATTTATTACAGTCGTTGGTCAGTTCCAGTCCAACCGGTTTGATTACCTACTTTATATGATTGAAAATATTTTATTAGATTTTATCACATTACTTTTTTTTTTAATTCAGTGACGTTTTAAAGGAGTAAATTATTTTTTCTTTTGGGTCAATGATCAAATGAAATAAATCTATGCGTGACTCAAATATTTAAAAAAAATTAACCTTTTGGGTACGGATTTATTTGAGGATATATTTGCATGTGGAATGGAAATAATTTTTGGTTGCTTGGAGTAGTATGTAAAGGCGGTACATTTTATGTAAGAATGTATTTATTTCTAAAATGTTAAAAGTTTAATTCTTGGTTTGACGTCTTAGACACGTCATCCGCTCTTAGGGGAAAAAAGTGAATGACGTGTCTCAGACGTCAAATGTACCCATTTATAAATAGGACCTGAAATTCAAGTGCAAGCTACCTTGACTTTTATGGTGCCTTGCTAGTTTTTTTTTTAATTTTTAATATCAAAATTATTAAACTACGTAATTAAATTTAATGGCTTGTTAAATTCCTGTAAGATATAAAAAGAACAAATATACTTAACCCTTAAATGGACGATTTTTTTTTTACGTTTTAAAAAAATATATTTGTGTAATAGACATGTAGTACTGTCTAGGAAAAATGAGTAAAAAAATCTAGACATGAATTTACTATTTTTTTTAGAAATAAGAACTAGTTGTCAAAATTAACAAAAAAATAAAATAAAGATAATTTTATCTGTGATGTTTAGTATGTTGTTTAAAAACAACATTGTCCATTTAAGGGTTAACGCTAGTAACAAAGGCCGACGATACCACCCGAACGATACCGGGAATCGCGACTGTCATATTTTTCATACTAATAAATACGAAAGATTGAATGGATGGATGTTTAATATCACGTATCTCTTAAAGGATAAAATTTGGCAGATATATAGAACACATAGGTTACTTTCTAAGTTTTCTTTTATTCGCGCGGATGAATTCGTGGGCAAAACCTAGTTAGGTATAAAGAGTTATAGCTGCAGATACGTTGATTATGTTTTGAATGTGTTATATATGACGCAAATAATATCGCAAGGCAAACTGGATAATCTGCATTTGATGTCTACATATGAGTCTTGAGGTACCAATGTTCTAGAACAGTTTTGACCAAAAAGTATATCCATTAACATTTACGACGAATGAACAAAGGAAAACATACGTACTATTTTATATTCATTTCATGTTTCCTACATTCAAATCAAATCACATAAATTAAAAAAAAAACAATGTCTTTAAACACTTTAATACTCGTGTAATTCGGTAAATTCTCCTTTAAATCAGTACAATTTAAATTATTTTATTCACGAGCCGAAAGATTACTTAATATAAGCACAAAATCAAATACCACTGGCTACTTTCATTTTGAAAGCATACCTAGTTGTGATAGTAAAATTATTCGTAACGGACTTGCAGACAAAAAAACACATCGCCTGTGCTCGGCTGTTCTTTGTTTTTATGATATACCTGAGGAGCAGAGCATTCACCTTATAGTTCAATATGTATAGCGCCACACTAATGTAACCTACTGCATTTTCTCTTCATAACATAAAAGCACCATCATTTTTAAATTAAGACTCGAAAAAGATGCGAACCTTATTTCTGAGCCACTGGAGTTCTAATTTTAAAAACTAGTCAATGAAACAAAGACGTTTTAAGTCTTTTATTATTACGCAGTTGTAACTCTAAAGTCGTATTAAAGTAATCTTAGCTTTCGGTCAACGTTTCTCCTGGACGCACCTACAGATTTTGTCATGTCAAAAGGCAAAAGGCGCTTAGGCTAATCCTCTAGTATTACTATACTACATTAGATAAATTGCATACAAAAGATGCCACTTATGTTTAAAGGGCACGTAAAGTACAATGAAGCTTCCTTTAATGTTACAACTAATTACTATAATTGCGCATAATTATCTCGAGTTGACATTAAATCTGGCCTGTCGTAATTATACCATAAAATTAACTTCCTTATAAATACTTGAGAATAAACATTTAACATTTTCATGATTTTCAACCAAGACAAAATTAATGAAATGAACTGTTAAGATATTTTAACGGTAGGACAATTTGTTGAAACTAAATACATTCAGATATATAGATTTGAAAAAAAATTCTCAATATTTTTGCACTCTTCTTAATGTACAATTATTTTAACATACTATTCAAATAAATTTTCTTATAATTCATACAAATTTATTCTAAACCTTACATCAATCACTCGTGTTAACTGTATGAAGGTCATTTGTCCGAAAATGGAAAGTAAATGTTGCATCGTAATAGCGTTTTTAACATAACAGTTCGATTTTTGTACATTTGCTTATTTAATTCTGTACTTTTGTTTTAATTTCACATTGCTAAAATACCGTATAACTACGCAGAAAATGTGCTTGAAGTTAAAATATGGCAAAACTTTACACATTTTAATGTGGATGGAATGTAAGAATAACTCAAAGAAAAGAAAAACAAAGAAGCATATACATTGGTAATATAACATACAAGTAAGACAAGTTTGTATTATAAATCACAATAAGGCATACACCTGGCCTGTTCTTTTTACATCTCTACATCAATATAATTTTTCTGACATCTCATTTATAGACAACAAAATCATGCTAAAGTCTGACATTGTTTTCATGTTGTCCGCTCAGAGTTTGTATAGCAAGCTGCCATTATTTATCCCTTACTATCAATGAAGTTAGTTAATTATATAAAGTAAACTTTACATAAAAATATGTAATAGATCAATTAACTTTTTCATCATCATCAGCTCACTATATGTTGCCACCGAGGGGCTCAGAGCCTACCCTAAGTTAAGGGTGATTAGGCCATAGTCAACCACGCTGGCCCAGTGCAGGTTGGTTGACTTCACACATATCTTTGAATTTCTTCTGAGATATGTGCAGGTTGAATCACGATGTTTTCCTTCACCGTAAGAACGTCGGATAAATGTACATATGTAAATCGGAAATCGAAAAACACATTGTTACATGGCGGGATTCGAACCCAGGACCTACAGATTGCAAGTCAAATGCTTAACCCCTGAGCCACCGACGCTCTTTATTTATTAACTTTTTGCGGTAGTCAAATTACTATCAAATGAGAATTTAAGACAGAAAATAGGTACTCAGTATTATTTTTCACACAATGAAAAATACATTTATCTTCATTACTCATTATTCAATTGTGCTAATTAAGAAGCAAATAAAAAAAATGTTAATTAAAGGATGTGACTGCAATATTAAAAAAATAAGGACATTTATCTTACTAATATGATAAATGTGAATGTTTTTATGCATGGATGGATGTTTGTTTAAAGTTATCTCCAGTAAAGCTAGACTTCATGAAATTTAGCTTACATAGACAATTTAGTCTAGAAGAACACAGGCCACCAATTATATTTTTCTTTTAATTCTGCTTGGACGGAGTTGCAGGCAATCTCTATTATCTCATACAGTTAATTGATTACACTTTTGTATAAGCCGCTTTAACCCAATAACCAATTGTTTGATAGGGTAATGAGCTCAAAGGGCAACCTTTAATATTAGCAACTATAAATTTCTTGATGTTTTATACTTAATAATTGTTACTTGATAACATTGTTGATATTTAGAAGGCAATTTGTAGGCTATTTGTTTAGAACTTTAGTTGAACTTTAATGTAATGATAATGAGGTTTGTTCCCATCCAATTACTAACCTATACTAATGTAAAGTATAAAGATGTATAAACATGCATTATATTTAAAGACTTTAGAAGTTATATAAATGTTTGGTTTTGAAAATATAAAAGCATGTATTCATCAGTAATATGTATTCAAGGTTGGAGATAGAGATGGATAAGTGCATACAAATTTTTGGAAACTGAAGGCTGAGTTTCTGAAGCTTTGTAAATGAATAACATATTTTTGAATCTTAATCAATTTTAATTTCAGAATCCTATTTTGATCCAAATCACCTGCTTGTTTTTTTTTCAAAAACAGTGAATAACATATAAAACCTATGTTTCTTTGTCATGTTTTAAACATACGTATCAAAAAGTATTAGGCTAAATGCAAAGTAAGTAAATAAAAGTAAAACTTAAAACAAAATTATGATTACAATTCTTTTAAACGACCTTATTAACAAGAAAACATATACAGATATCGCGAAATTGGCCCGTAAACATAGTAAGTACTACCTATCTAGTAAATATATTATTAAATCTTACCACTTTTTGGGAGGCTCCTAATAACGTTTACAGCAGCATTGAATTTCTCCTCTATAGACATTTCGACACAATCACAAAAACTTCAATATAAAATATACTACTACACGTACTTTGGACTTGGAAATATCACCAGTTCACTTGCCTATTGAATTATCATTGACTAACAACTGACATGTTTACAACACAATCACAGACTGAAGTACGAAGATCATTTAAGTTTGCTAAGTGTTTACTCGGAAAATCTAATAAATTTGCTGCACTGATATTTTATTGGACAATACTAAAGCATAAGTTTGACCATGGATAAATGCTGAAAAGCTGTTCATTCGAAGCAATTCGAAGGTAAAATTATTGGCAAATTAGCAATCTCAAGCAATCGTCATAAAATAATTTGACATTTGAAAATTTTTAATGTTGCTATATTTTTTTCCCGTGCCTACTGTTTTCTACCATTTATACTTCTCTAAAGTAAAAAAGAAGTAAAAGTAAAGCTTGGGAGAAGAAAATAAAATACTGAAGGTATTTTTTATAAACATATGGGTTTTAAAAGGTACAGTAGTACGAAGAAAATTGTCACATAACCACAGAAATGTACAAATTGAATTTCGAATTTATATGGCTATCTGTTAAACAATGTTGACAATTCCATATCTGTGGTGCTAGTTCTCTTTCTGTCAATTTGGTTGCTATTGTCGATTATTTTTCAAAAAAGTTTATAATAAACAAGGTAATGAATCTTTAAATTTGTGTAGAATCTTGGTTTTAAAATGTGAAAGTTATTCTTTTATGTACCCACGAGTGAGATTCACAATGACTTTTTACTTAATTTTAGTACTTAGATTATAAATATGATTGTGCCGACCATATTTGTGGGCTTTTTATTAAAAAAGTTTTCTAGAAATATATTTGTCTTACCGAATATAAATACATTTATTGGAGCTAAGCTACGTGCTTAAGCTTATTATTTTGTATAAACATATGTTATCTCCATAATAACTGGCATTGAGCTCGTCACAATTGTGATGTTCATAATTTAACAATATTTAGCGCTGAAATATCTTTATGTTATCGAATACAGTTATATTACAGTAGAAAATATCTTAAAGTAACAATGTAATTAATATTTATAAATGTAACCTTATCTTACTAAAAATAAAATAATAGGTTAGGTTAAAAATACCGACACTAAATTACTCTTTATGAATTAAGAGAGTTTACTACATTTGATCCAACTTTAATTGACTATAGTAACACATATGCCTTGCCTGTTATAATAATATTACTGCATTTTTAGGATAATTTTGTTATTTGCAAGATTACCAGAGAAGTAAATCTCAAAATGCCAGAACTTACCGAATTGGACAAAGCCACAGCTTCAATGACTGAAAAGCGCAAGGAAGAAACTGCTTCCTCAGACAGTGACTCTGATGATACTATTCCAGAGTTAGAAGATGCAGGTAAAGCAATTATTACAATTATTATTTGTAAATTAAATTTATACCAATTTAATATTTAGAGGGGAAAAGAGTGTCTAGGAAGGGGAAATACCTTTTTCTGTACATCCTCTCCTATGTCCCTTAAAGGTAGGCAATGCAATTGCAATCAAATTCTTGCCAAGCAATGAATGACTTTGCATTTTTAATAACAAGTAAACACTGCCTTGTTTGCCACCAGTATAAAGAAAATAAATAAAAATGTAATACTTTTTTGTTTCTTTAAATGTCAAAAATTATAAACTGCATAGCAGTGTTCAAATAATTTATATTAACGGATAGCATGCACGATAATTATAATTTAATTTATTGCAATTATTTGGATGTAATCAGGTGCACCAGGTGCTGGAGGTATTACCAACCCCATTGCTGGCATTGATATTGTGTCTAAGGCTAAGCAATCACGAGGAGAAAAGAAAGCTCGTAAAATTATGAGCAAACTTGGTTTAAAACCAGTAAGTATGATATTAAATTCACTTATTACAATATACTGTCTGTGTCTTAAACTCTGTATAAAATAAATGCCAAACTCACTGAGTCATAAATTTGTGTAACAACTGAATATTTTCCACCTGACTATAGAGTTGCTCCATATGATAAATCAACACAAAGTGTAATTAAAATTGTCAGAAGAAGTATTCTGTATTTAATTTTTTTATGCTTTAGGTGCAAGGAGTCAACAGGGTGACAATCAGGAAGTCAAAGAATATCCTGTTTGTGATCAACTCACCAGATGTATACAAGAACCCCCACTCGGACACATACATTGTGTTTGGAGAGGCCAAGATTGAGGATTTGTCACAGCAGGCAACAATGGCTGCTGCGGAGCGCTTCAAGGCCCCTGAGACTGCTGCTTCAGGCAATGATGCCACTGCTACTGGCACAGTAAGTTAATCACCTACAAAATTTGTCTATGAGTCATACTAAAAGAACTTGTCTATTGGAGAAAGATTTTTTTACATCAAGACAGTTGTATCCGAATAAACTCTGAATGAATATTGACCATGTTAAAAATACCTGATATCTATGTTAATGTTGGAGGAAAGTGGAGACGTATTGTTGGACGTCATGGCCTACTTTAGATTGGTGTGTCACCTTAGTTTATGTAAACATTCCCATGTTCATATAATTATGTAACAGTTGTCAAGTAATCTAAATAACTTTAATCTAAATTTTCAGACAGTAGCACCAATAGCAGAAGAGGAAGATGAGGAAGGAGTGGATGAATCTGGTGTTGATGAAAAGGATGTGGAGATAGTAATGACGCAAGCTAACGTCTCAAGGGCACGGGCGGTCCGTGCATTGCGTAATAACCAATCCGATATTGTCAATGCTATAATGGTTTGTAATTCTTTATTTTACTCTGATATTGCCAAAAATTTATGTTATGTTACACATCTTATCACTTTTGTGGTTTTTGTAATTTCAATTGAAGGATGTTTGCAATTAGATAAAAGTGTTTATCTTCAACTTGTTTTGTTCATTGTTTTCTAAATATATGTTTCTCTTTTCAGGAACTTACAATGTAAGAAGCAGATAGTCACAAGAATTACTTTATATGTTCCTAGTTATAAGTCTCTTTGTTAACTACATTGGCTTGAAATGAAGATTGCCAGAACAATGGTATAATAAAAGAGAACCCAAAGTGAAACCTTAACAATGCCTTCAATTATGGTAATACATTATGGATGGATTATGAGAATGTAAATAGTTATTTACTTCAGACTACAATAAAACGATATAAGAACTAAAACATCATTTATTTTTCCTTAATAATTCAGTACTTGCCAGTACAATCTGAAATGTTTTGAAACAGAAAGGGAGTTTTAGGAAACTTATTTTACAACAACATAACACAGAGGGATAATTGCAGACTACGGATCTCCATTTCGTCCTGACACCTTTTGCTTCTAATTTAAATAACTATATCTTAGATAATACTAGATGACAAATGTGGTAATTAGTTGAATAATATGCTACTAGTTCTAAATGACAGCAAGTAAACACTACTGATAATTTTGGTAGAAAGTATTGGAAATCAAATAGAATAAGGGTTAAGCAGGGGGAAAGGTTTTAAAATTAAAATCTAGCTTGAGGCGTGAATTTTTAAATTATGATTTTGTTTTCAGTTCAGAACTACCATCTTTTAATCTACACTTACTTGTCTTTACTTTTTATGAATACTCTGTGGCGCATTAGTTAAACGTCAAAGTCAAATCAAATGTCAACTTGATTTGTTTCAAAACTAAAGAGTGAATTTGGTTTTTGTAAACCTAAATCTACTTTCATCTTGAATTTGTGATATTGTTTAAACACTTAAAATGGCTATGTTTCCTGGAACTATTGCTTTTGATGAATTTGGTCGTCCATTTATAATTTTGAAGGACCAAGAAAATCAAAAACGTCTTACCGGTACAGATGCTATAAAGGTAATTATTTTAATATTTATAATTGTGAAAATTAATCCAACGGCTTACAAATATTGTTAAATAGACAAACTTATTGTCGATACGTCTCAATCTAGCATAAAAATATAAAAACCGTACCTATTTACAAAATTTCATAAGTTATTAATAAATCTTTAATTTCTGAAAATAATAACTTTTATGAAATAAAATAGCAATAATATTAAAATTTGTTACATCCAAAACATTTATTGACCCTTAATTTAATACAACATTGAATGTTTTACAAATTATTTACGTTTAAAAAATCAGATGTTTGAAGTCACATGACGTATCTTTGCAATTTCTGATCAAGTTTTATGAATTAAAGCAAGTTTTTCATAGAAAATCAATTTATATGCACGTAAATACATTCATAAACAACAGTAAAACAGTTTAAATCAATGAACGAATTAATTAAATCATGACTAATATAACCTCTCGTCGTATTTTAATCTTAGAAATATAATTATTTGTATCTTAGTGTTTAATTTATTCTGTTACAACATACGATATCATTTATTTACAAGTAATAATGATAATATTTACACAGGAGTATTAATTTTATATTGATCAAGTCCAAATATAATAATATTTGAAACATAGAATCAGAAAAAAATGCTCAACGTATTTTTTTTTATTTTAGTCTCACATCCAAGCTGCTCAACAAATAGCCAGCATTTTACGCACATCTCTTGGTCCTCGTGGACTTGATAAGATGATGGTGTCATCTGATGGAGAAGTTACAGTCACCAATGATGGAGCTACAATTTTGAAGCTGATGGATGTTGAGCATCAGATTGGTAAACTCATGGTACAGTTGTCTCAGAGTCAGGATGATGAGATTGGTGATGGTACCACTGGAGTTGTGGTTTTAGCTGGTATGTATGTACTTAATATAGAATCATTAATATGGTAAACCCATAGTGTAAATGAGTATTGAAAGTATCATAAAACAGATATGAGTACTATGTCTTATAGCTTAAGTAAATCAGTACTATCATACAATATTTTTAATAGTGGTGCTTTGTTTCAATTATAACAAAAAAAATTAAGGCCAGTAGCAAGATTGATTTTTAAACTTTAACAAAAAATAAACAGTAAAAGCAAGGAATTTCCATAAATTTGTAAAACAATAATTTATAAATAACTTGTAAGCTGGTGAATATTTTAGCATTTATTTAAAAAAAAAAATTGTATTTCATTCTTTAGGTGCTCTTTTGGAACAAGCGGCAATCTTGATTGACAAAGGCATTCATCCAATTCGTATTGCTGATGGGTTTGAGATGGCCTCAGCGACAGCATTGGCTCACTTAGACTCAATCAGTGAGGCATTCCCAGTGAATAAGGACACTAGAGAGCATCTTATCAAAGTTGCCATGACAACCCTTGGCAGCAAGGTTGTTGTAAAGTGTCATCGTTTGATGGCTGAAATTGCTGTTGATGTAAGTTTTAATATTTTATTTTATTTTTTATACATGAATAAATGGTAATTGTTTAAGTTATATCTAGTAACTAGAAAACAATAAAAATGTTAATCAAAATATACATTCATGCTAAGTTTAACCTGTGATTTTATTCAGGCTGTGCTGACAGTAGCTGATCTGGAGAAGAGGGATGTTAATTTCGAACTGATCAAAGTGGAGGGTAAAGTAGGAGGGCGTATGGAGGATTCAATGCTTGTGAGGGGTGTTGTAATTGACAAAACTATGAGCCACCCTCAGATGCCAAAAATGTTGAAGGTAAAGATTATAAATTAATAGATATTTTAATTATATTAGCAGATTTTTATTTATTTACTAATGTTTTTGTACCATTCCAACTCAGCTCTAGGCTTTTGCTAGGAAATGGTTTATGACAATAGTTGAAACTCAAACTCTTGACCACATGATTGGAATTCATTAACCATTAAGATAATGTAACTACTTATACTTTGTTAGGACAAATTATATGCAGTTAAAAATATTTTGTTTGTGGTATACTTTGATCTCTTCCTTATGCTACAGATTATATGGTGAACCTAATAAGATCATTGAATTCTAGAAGTTACCATGATGTAATGGCAATCTCCTTTCATTAAAAGGCATTGCTATATTTAAACTTGATTTATGTTCAAAATAAATTATTTGCAGGATGTGAAATTGGCAATTTTGACATGTCCATTTGAGCCACCTAAGCCCAAGACAACACACAAGTTGCATGTTGGCTCGGTCGAGGAATACAGAGAGCTGCGTCAATATGAACAGGAGAAGTTTTTAGAGATGGTGCGCAGAGTGAAAGTATGTAGTCTTCATTTTTAATATTAATCAAGATATTATTTATCAAATAAAAAAAGCACTTTGAACACTTGGCCACTGGAAACTCACACTTAATAAATCTTGATTGTTTTGACTATTTGTATTTATACATGTAACATATTGCAGGACACCGGAGCAACACTAGCCATCTGTCAGTTTGGTTTCGATGATGAGGCAAACCATTTGCTTCTCTCACAAGGTCTGCCCGCTGTGCGCTGGGTGCATGGACCTGAAATGGAACTTATCGCGATCGCCACCGGTGGCCGCATTGTGCCACGCTTTGAGGAGCTCACACCAGACAAACTGGGCTCCTGTGGACTTGTGAGGGAACTCAGTAAGATAATTTTTTATTCTATGCAAATATATAATAAAGTGGAAGAAATGAGAGGGTGTGTCAAATAGAAGTCCTTAAACTTTGCTTACCCATTTTGGTTGTGTGGTATTTTGTTGCTTTTTTTAGATAATGGATGAAGCAGCTTTTAGTTTGCAACAAACAAGTTCTCAGATGTTTTCTATGTTTTCATATAAGAAATAGAGAATCAGATTATTTTAAACAATTACAAGTCGAAACTTTGAATCAACATTCTTCAATTAGTTGTCTTATTTCAGTGAATTATTGAACAGTAATTTAGAATTTTACATTACAGTTCTTTCAATTTTATTTTATATTATATATACTTGTGTCTTGATCTTTGTTCAAAGTCAATTTCAATTTCTTTCACAGCATTTGGTACATCCAAGGATGAAATGTTGGTGATTGAACAGTGTTCAAACTCTCGCGCGGTGACAGCGGTAGTGCGTGGTGGCAACCGCATGATTGTGGACGAGGCTAAGCGCTCAGTGCACGACGCGTTGTGCATCGTTCGCAGTCTTGTTCAGGTAATTACAAATTATTAATGACATTCTACACTGATTTTTTTTTTCGGATCATACAAAAATTGCTAATTTGTAAAAGACGCGAATTTTTGTTTAAAGTGACTTTTCCCATTGATTAAGTAGATACATTATTAGGCATTTTATAACTTATACAAGCCTACTGCATTCAACTATTTAATGGCTTAACAGAGTTAAGCTAAACCTAAATTAAGCAATCATTTATATACTGACTCTAGGTGTGGCAATTATTAAGTACTTTCGTTTAGGACTCCCGTGTTGTGTACGGCGGAGGCGCTGCAGAGATCTCGTGCTCGCTGGCAGTGGCGCGTGCCGCAGAGAAGTTGTCCTCGCTTGAGCAGTATTCATACAGGGGCTTTGCTGATGCCCTCGAGTCTATACCTCTAGCATTAGCGGAGAACAGGTGAGGATACATGATTGTGTATATCAATTAAATCCTATGCATAAGTAAACTTAGTAACGTCAAATTGCACACATTGCAGCCATAATGATCTTTACAAACATTGTAATATCATCACAGCTGTTTATCCTACATTATCTCACAAATATTTGTAAAGGGATTGCGAAGATTCGTTTAGCCACGCTGATAGGTCCTTGGTCTCTGTCTACCCCTCTGGGTTATAGGCGTGAGTTGTGTTTGTAGTAATGTATGTTTCGATAACTTTATTTTGTAACTACAGTGGTCTTTCACCGATCGACACACTATCGGAGGTGAAGGCACGCCAAGTGTCGGAGAACAACAGCAATCTCGGTGTTGATTGCATGGGCACAGGTAAAATATATCTTGGATATTTTTAACTCACATTTTATACATTTAACACATTCTAGGTTAATAAGATTTTTTTGATGATAGTCAGTAGCACTGGAGGTGTTAATCCACAGTTGATTTGCTTCCTCCCTTCTTGTTACATGAAGCTATGCTTCAGCTTATACTAACAAAGAGGAAAGATTTGATTGTTTGACTTGAATAAGCACTCAAAGCTACTTAAGCAATTTAAAAAACTTTTACTGTTGGGGAGCTACAGTATTTTGAGTGACATAGGTCATGTTTATTATTAGATTATTATTAGTTCATCGCCAATAAGCGGGCAACAGCTAGTTACATACAAGTAAATTTAACAATTTTCTTCCACAACAGGTTCAAATGACATGAAGGCAATGAATGTAATAGAGTCATTACACTCTAAGAAGCAACAGATCGCACTCGCTACGCAACTCGTTAAGATGATATTGAAGATTGATGATGTACGCTCACCTGCTGACAGCATGCAGTAAACTTAAATATTTACTCTGAGCTGGACTGTATGGAGAGTTGTATGTGAATGCTATATAAAGCTGGGATGATTATTGCTAAATATGGTATTAACCATAAGTTTGCGGTACAAAAACTTTAAAAAATACATGATTTTGGTTATGGAATGGTCACAAACTATTAATAAAGAATATGTGGTGTCTAAGGTTTTTGTCAAACTTATAATATGATCCTTCTGTTAATATGTTTGTCCATAAAGTATGTAAAAGTTCCAGTTTTATATTTGCATTGTCTTAATTCTATCAAATTATTTAATGCTTTAAAATACTATTCTGTATTAACATTTTAATTTAATATTTTTAAAGCTTACATTGAAAATGTTAAGATTCATCTAAATATGTAGAAGAATAATTTTGTGTCTACCATATCTCAGTGAAGTTCACATGTGAAAGGTGTTTGTCTTATTTTATGTTTAGTTCTTGCATTTGTTTAAAACTAGTTTTACAGTACTGAGTATGAAGAATATGCCTTAATGCACTAATAAAATACTAAATGAATTTAAGTTTTTTATTACATCATTCTTAATTTATTCTTAAAAAGATTCACGGTGCATATTAGCAATATCTCAAAGTTCATTCAAAACCATACATTATCACAAACCAACAGCAGTCTCCATATTTCCTCACAAGTCTTTCATATTCCAGCAAACCATCATTTGAGTTTACCGAGCTAGGCATCTACTCCGAAGATTTTCTAGCTCGCTTACGCCGTTATATATCAAATCGTTCAAATGCTAAAGCTTTACCCTCTTCTTCATATTCTTCCTTTGTCATGCAGAAGGAATAAAATTCAGGATCTTTGAATAGAAGTTTTCCACCTTCCCATGGATATGTCAGAGGATTATCAGCAAGAGTTACATTAACATCGTAATGATCAAGAGCAAATGCTCTTACTTCATTATATACTCTATCTCTAAAACCAGGAAAAAGTGTACATCCTCCATACAAAACTATATTCTCCAGTAAACTCTCCTTATTCTCTTCCGGACATGCACCTATAGCCTCCATTATAGCTTCCGGTATACCCATTTGTGGGATACCAACATCTGACGGACGGAATAATAACTCTGGTATGGAAAATCTTTCATTGTTGAGCCGTAGAGTTTGTTGTTCCAAATCCTCGTCAGGTTTGACAACATCACGTAAATACCCTCTGCGGATTGTAGTATAATCTGGCAGCACATAGTCCTTTACTATAGTGTTTTCAGAACCTGGATAAAAAAATTGGTCACTATATATGATAAAAACAGAACTGTTAACAATAAAGACTACATAAATGTATTAAGGTATTTTAACTTGACGGAATTTTGTGTTAAATAAAATAAGAATACAGATGTAATACATACCTCTCGTTTTGGCAATTTCCATATCAGCCATAAAATCTTGGGAAACAAAACAAGAGTCTTCTTTCACTTGATTAATAACGTAAGTTTCATCCATGACATTCAACTGCCTGTACGATATGATTTCCTTCAAATGATTAGTCAATACTTTACCACCAACATCAATTCTTCTAATTCCATCTTTGTATTTCTTTCCTTTAATATATGGTACTATGTAAGTAAAGCTATAACCAGAATCAACAACAACAGTGCTCTCATTGGAATTAAGTTTCCTGTAGTGATATTCTGCCAAATCAGTTGCATTTATCCTTAATAGGGACTGACATTCGTATTCTTCAAAGAATATTTCTGTCATAGCCTCTTGTATAGAGGAAAAGTTAAATAATGGTTCTGTTATTATTAAAGGAGCTTCACTAAAATTTACCAGACAACATTCTTTGCTAAATATAAAATCCCACACAGTTTTTTGCGTGTCCCAATTGATTAGGAATCCTTTTTGAAAAGGTAATATGTAAAAGAGTCCAGATGCATCCCGACATTCATCTATTTGTGATGCAATGAAAGGACGTCGACGTTCAGATTTAGCTTTCATAATACAATTGGGTACAATTTTAGGTTCATTCGCTGTGGAAAACCCAACTTTTGCCGTATAACCTCCATTATCAAGAATATAGCAGGAAGTTTCAGACATATTTTGGTTTTACCGGTAAAACTTAAACTTATAATGATATTTTGTAATCAGCATCTAATTATTTAGGTAACGCAATCTTCATTGAGCCAAACAATTCATACGTCGTCAAAAGAGTTGTGGTTATACAATACTGCAACTATTGTTCTCTCATAACTTTTACAATTTAATAAATTATGTACGTAAAACTAAAGTATCTTAACTTACTATAAAACTTTGCGATTTGCGATACTGAAAAAATGTCATAATGTCAAACAACCCGAAAGCTGTCAAATTGACAATGTCAGTCAAAGAGCAATTCCATCTATTCATCCTGAAATACAACTCCTAGGGGTAATAGATGTCCGAGTATTCATCTTGTGAAAAATGGAACAGCTGTATAATGTCAACTCATTGTAATTGGTACTATCAGAAATAAAAGTGCTATTATTTATTTTAAAACGAAAAATGTCTTTAAACATATAAACAATATTATATCAGCAAGTTTTTGGTTAGTTAACCAATATTTTTTGTAACCAATCCTATTCAGTTCAAGGATTGTAATAATTCAGATATGGTTTATATGCAATAGTTGGGTTTGAACCCTTGACCATGTGATTGATGGCTGTACCCTCAGGGATAGGGCTTTTTCGTTTTAATTGATAGACTAATAATTTCGTTCAATTAAAAAAGATTGTCATTTGATCCATTTATGATAATGTGCAAGGTTTACTAAGTCACCTAGGCACAAAGCAAAGTTAGATGGGGCAAAATTTCTGCATCGTCATAACCATGGTGTTATGCCTTTACCCCTGACTAGTATGATTAAAGATTTTCATTTGGTGGTAGTAATAAATACACCGCTCTTGCCTCTTGTAATTGGTACTTTTAAAATCCTAAGACTATTCCAAATGAACAAATAAAATACACATGTTTTCTCCTTAAAGTTTTATTGAGATTAAATAATTTTTTCTATCTTAATCTAATGCATTTTTCATATTTGAAGTTGAAATTTACCTGAAAAAAATAATTAATATGAATATAAAACTACATACTTTTAAAACATTAGTATTAAACAAAATTGTCTTTGTAATATTCAAATCAGGAACATGTAATAAATTATGCCATTTATAAAGAGAAAACAATCATTCATCCAAAGTAATTAAAACAGTTGAAACATCTATATTGTTGAATAAAATTCTTAATTTAAATACAAATTATATTGAATGATAAAATATGCTCCCAAAGTCAGATCCCAATTACATTAAAGGTTTTGAAATCCACCGAGGATAAACTTACAATAGACATATTTAGATTAGAATAGTAGATAAAAACCTTACTTTTTGAGAAGCTGGTGACGGGTAATCAGGAATGGTGCTGAGAGACCGGAGCTCACAAATACGATGAAAAGGGCCGTCAGCTTGTAGCGGTTAGAAATGTCAAAGGGTAAGTTCTGAAAAAAAAAAACTTAAAAATTAAATAGTTTTCAGATTACATTTACAGACAGACATTTGTAATATCAGATGATACATAACAGTACAAAATGCATTTTCTAAATACAATTATAATTTGCAATTGTCTAAAAGAAATAGATAAGACAAGCTCAACCAATAAAAACAAAAACTTATTTATTGCGAGATCTTGTCACAGGCACTTAACATTACGTTAAATACCATGATAAAACAAATAACCATCGATATATAAGTGATAATTTACCTTTTATAACCAAAAAAAAGTGAAAATGAAGATTATGTAATGTTAATCGATTTGAATTTGGAACTTACCTCTCCAGGCACTCCACCGTGGGAATGGTTTCTGACAAAATTTGTCATTACGTTTCTGCCCAACCTATTAGACAAACGAGCCATAGGAGTAATCATTTTGATAAATTGCTAGGTCGTTTTTCCTCGCGAAATCTGAACTGCAGACTACAGAATCGCAGAACAACGTTGAAATTAGAATAGTGCAAATTTTCACAAATATATGGCTACTATTTTACTAAAACTACCGCTGCGTTCGTTCGGAATTTTATCCAATTTAGTAACTTTCATTTCAACAAACGCATCCAAAAATTTGGAAATAAAAAAAGTCATACACATAACTAGCTTTATATAAATAAAAGAACATGAAAATTACATTATGTTTATTAATTTAGTTCGAATACTAACACTAAATATCATACACTTCACGTTTCTCCATGTCCTCTAATTGCTGACTTTTTTTTCCTGAAATCGAAAAAAGACATATTCTTGACAAAATGTTTAGTTGTCCATTACACAGTTAATAAATTGTAGTAATTGGCATTTTTGTTTGGTTTGTCCTACAAATATAAGAAAAAACAAGCCTGTTAATTAACTTAACTGTCACATAAAAAAATCCACTGAAATAATTTCGGTAGTGAGGGATTTCCATCAAAAATTTTCGCAGTTTCGAAGAATACAATAAAAAAAAACTAGATAAATTAGAATTTTAAGTAAATTCATACATAAATTCAATGTTCCTGTATGCGTAGATGAATAAAGTATTAGAAGAAATGAGAGTGGTGTCAGGACCGCACCAAAAGTCCCCGTGGTATTTGCTCACCCATCTGGGTTACAGACATGAGTTATTGTATTATATTACAACTATGTATGCAGATAGATGTTTTCTAGATGTTACAAATGTTTTTAATTTTATTTACTAGAGCGGTTTTATATTAGTTTATTCACAAGAGTAACTTCGATTCAAGTATGAAATATTAATAAATAGAAAACCACTAACCACTTCATTTCTTAGATAGCTGGTACCACAAAAGAAGGAACGGTGCTGACATTCCGGAACCAATAAACCACATCATATGAAATGTGAGGCGTGTTCGGTTGTGGATATTAAACGGCAAATTCTGAAAAAAACAATAAAAAATAATTACATCCCGTAACCTTTTTTTCAATTGATGAATATAGCATTCAAAATCATTTAAACTGAACCTATTTTCTGCTAAAGGCTACCCTCGACTCTTGGCCATTGCTATGCATAATATGGAATGGAAACTATTTTAAATCATTTTAATTTTTGATTTTGAATTATTTTTCGTACTAAGTTTATACTTTTTATACAGATGCAAAGCTCTCATATTACCCCTGCGAATGAACGAATATTTTAGTTGCTGAGTATATTACGTAATTGAGTATAAAGCACTTACCTCTCCTGGAACTCCTCCATGGGATCCATTTCTGACAAAGTTTTTCATCACATTTCGTCCAAATTGATTAGAAACTCTTGAAATTGTGCCCAACATTTTTTAGTTATTTTTCTAAAATGTTGTAACTGAGCATGCAGGTAAAATTAAGGAGATAAGATAAATATATATTGAGCGATCCCTTTTATCGATAGGTACAACCGCTTATCCATTGATAAGAGACCCTGATATTAAATAGATCAATTCTATTTATTTATGAGTTTGTCTATCCTTTGGATTTGAAATCGTCAATAATTTACGATTTTTTCTCGCATTTCTAGCTTGAATGTAACGGTTCAATAATTTTATTTAAATTTAAAAATACCTATATGTTTAGCCTATTTAATTTTTTAACTTTGAAAAAAATGTACCAAGTTAGGTACAATTTCTTGTTCAAAATTAAAGAAGGATGAAAGAGAAAATACAAAAGAATCTTTAGCTATAGTATATGAAGTAAATTTTAAGCTTAAAATTCGCGGTATTATAATATGTGTTTACTCATTACCACCCATTACTGTGATTTAAAAACTACCAAGTTATTTATGAAAATTTATCAAAACGCTGTAAAAGTTTTGTACTTTAAACTTATTTAAATACACCATAGTAATAATAAATTTGAAGAAGAGCTTTTAGAATAGCTTTGATCAACTTATAGATCCTTTAATCCTTTACTTATCCTTTAACATTGCATTTATTTGATGACAACACTAACTGCCATTAAAAAAAAGAAACAGACAGTCGGCCACGCTTGCCACAAAAATTGTCTTGGAATTATTCAAGTATTTTCACCTTTTTCGTTCCAATATTATTGTAATTACCATATTAACTTTTAAGTCAATTATAAAATTACGCAATGGCCGACTTAGATGATTTCTTTGCTAAGAAAGATCGCAAAAAGTCGAAATCAGTCAAAAAGTTTGCTACTGCCGATGAATTAGCCAAAAAATTGGAAGACACAAAAAAATCGGATGTAAGGCCAAAAAAAGAGCGACCGGCACAAGAAGGGGATGAACCTGGTAGAGCTGGGGTAAGTTTCCTTTAAAATCACTCTGTAATCGTATAAATTTTGAACATAAGTGTCAATTGCCATGGTGCAGGCGGGTTTTGTCGACGAACCAGAAATGTTGGGTTAACATTATTTTAATGCCTATCATGCTTCTATCTTTAAAAACAACTAGTCTATAAGTTGATAAGGAATAAGAGAACAGTTATTGTAAATATTTGACACCATGAGCATTCATTGAAAAAAACTTTAGTTTGACCGACTTATTTCGTCTCAATTTTACAACGATAATGTCGTATGTCATAGTTGTAATCCTAGTTTGTATAGAATATTAACTTTAAGTTTGTACTTTTGTGACTACTAAATATAATGAATAATAACTGCACATTACATGTGACACTATTGACATTTCAAACAAAGATGATGTGTAAATTTCACTGTAGATGTGTTATAATAGAGGATACATCAAAGATAAAGAATAAATACATATGAAATGAACTGTAAAAGTAAGTTATTAGCAATATCTCCATCTACCCTATCATGGTAATAAAAATGCTTAGCTACACTTTCTTTTGTGCAGTTATTTGATGTCATTAGATTAATTTGATATATTCAAAGGAAGATATAGATTACATTAACCTATTTACTCATGTTAAGCTAAATGTAAACTGTGCATATTCAGTTTAAATTGAATATTATTGCAAGTAAGCACTTTTTGTTCATTGCAATACCTTGGTGTTCCCGTTGCTTGTTTGCCCCTTCTCTTATTAAAAAAACTCATCAAATCCATAAATACTGCACCTTTTTTGTAATTAAGACTATTAGAGATAGTAATTATTGGGACTAAACAATCAAGTGAGCTATCAAGCCATCTGAATTCACCACAGTGAAGCAATCACTTCCCATTGACATTTCCTGCAAATGTGCTAGGAAGGGATAGAGTATATTTCCCTGTCTCCTCTGTCGCCAAATTAATTTCCCCTTCCCATAATTTTCTTATAAGAACACACTCCTCGGATGAAACATGGAATGAATTCATCTTCACACCAATATTCTGTATGTGGAATTGATGGTAGCATAAAAATATTGGTAAGAAATTATATGAAAGTTTTAAGAGTTGAAAGATTTAGCTTTAACAGGTTTCTATAAGGCCAACTATTATTGTTTGTTAATTCTTAGGCATATAATTACATAATGAAAGTTATTTTGTTTAGATATGCAGTACTCTAACAATAAATATGTTAATAATAATTAATAATTGTTGATTGAGAATGACTTGAGTCACTTTCATTACAACATGTTGGTACAAAGTCATGATAAGGCATGTATTTAAACTAAGGACATTTTAATGTCGTAATTTGACAGTATGTCTACATACCAGCTGAAAGACATTAGAATCAGGATAAGCTAGAGTCATAGTCCACACCTGATGGAAAAGCTCCATAAGCGAGAAGCTTGTTTAACAGTTAACTTTTATAACCAAGAAAAATATCATGGGTCATAAAACCGTCAAAAATATCACAAATATCATATCCATGGTAGACTGCACTGACTTATGCAGAGAACATTGCTGTAAGTTTAGTATCAGGCAATTTAGTTTGACATGTTTGAACATGTTTATTCTTCTTTGTCTGGTATTATACAATATTATACTAAAAACATAACTTTGCTTGTTGTGCATATTGTGTTTTTAATTATATGTTATGTATTGTTATGTTTGTATATAGGAAGAGGAGGAATGGAAAGAATATGAAGAGCCAGTGAAGGACTACACAGGGTTGAAGATTCAAGTGTTGCAAGGCAATGTGGCTCCGGAATCACGAGATTCGGCCGCGGAAGATTCAGCCCCTGACAGCGGAAAGGTCAAAGGTCCTTGGAACAAACCAGTAAGATAAATTTTCATATTTTGACCTATCTGTTGAAAAGAGTTACATAATAAATGAGACCTTCTAAGATCTCTCATGAAATGCAACTCTTTTTGTCAGATGGGTTGATTTTTGTTATTCATAGGGCTTATTATTACAAGTGGTGACAAATGAGGAAGGGCACCTGGTGTGCAGTAACCATACTTCTGAGTTCTTGGAAAACAAACATTTTCAAATATTAGAAACTATATCTTTTTCAATATTCTTCAAGGTAAGGGTTATATATGAGTGGGTAAATGATTAGTTACTTGACTAAAGTAGTAATGTTTTAGGTGGAAGTGGAACAACCTCCACCACCACCCCCAGTGGAAGAGAAGCCGAAAGAGGTGAAGGCCAACATCTACGTGCCGCCTGCACCTAGGAATCGAGAGGTTGAACCCATGATGCGTAGGAATCAGGCCGTGAGTGATGCATGATTTATTTAAAACTAGCTGTCGCCCATGTCACCTTCCGCGAGAAGCTTAAAATAGAGATACCTTCAAACAAACATCCATCCATCTAGACTTTAGCATTTATAATATTAGTATGATGTTAGCGGTGTACTTTACAAAATTTGCATTCTTATCCAAATATTTGTCCTTATTGATTTATCGATTTATTGTATCTTTGAGTTCAGTTGAAAGTCACAGGTTGATAATAGTGGATGTTTCCAACAACTGATTAACTTTTATAACTAAAATGTTAACACATTCAGATATTCTACTGTTTAAAGATTTTTAATTTGCTAATATTGTTTGCAATTATTCATTGCATTGCCATGAGCTCTGGCCAAGATATGGACATTTATATTTTGATATCATCATGGTGTTACAAGATGTTTCAAGTAAGGTGGTTGGTGTTGCGTTACAGAAGCATGCGCCGGACATCCACAACGACGATTACTTCCCTGTGCTGGGCGCGAGCGCTAAGCGCGGTGGTGCCGGCGGCTGGAGCACGGCGGGCGCGGGCGCGGGCGGCGGCACGGGCGCACAGCGGACCGGTGCACGCGCACCCCTCGCGCTTGGCAACCGCTTCACCTCGCTGCAGGACGACAGCTAGCCAGGTACATTGCTATACAAATTTAGTATGTCTGTCAATTGTATTGGTTTCTATTCTCCTGTAGCATAAATAATTGAACAGATTTTGATGACTGACGTGTCATCCAATTTGTTTTCTTCTCCTGGAGTGTCAAGGTTTATAATTAACAAAAAAAATATTGTGATTACCCAGCAGTGGGCAGATAAAGGCTGATGATGATAATTATTAACAAAAATCAACGCTCAGTCATTCTTATAGGCTGTTGACTAAAATGTAGGATTAGTAAGATAAATCTACACTCATGTCTCTGGTTATGTCCATAAGTATGTAGATACTCATAGACTTCTCTGATTTACAGAGTATGGTTTTTTTATTGATTCTATTTTGATAGTGTAATTGTTTGTCTGCAGGTAACAGTACTAAGCTCCGAGAAGCAAAGCAGTAAAGTGAAGTGTCAATATGGACTTGTAAGCAAAGCCCGGCTAGCATACATCTACATACATACATAAAGTTATGCAACAAACAGAATGGTGCATTTTCAAAACATTCACAGTCTATTTCCAAATAAAATCATATAAATTGTGTTCAGACAGTTGCTATAGTAATAACAAGTTGATTTTTTAATGTAAATTATTGGCCGGTAATTGGGATGCACGATATTATTCCTTTATATATTTATTTTCTTTTTAAATCTTATTAGGGAAAGAGTATCATAGATATGAAGAGACGAAATTATGAAATGGCTTCAACAAATATTTGGATTTTTAATTAACATTCTTCATCTATGTTACCTTTTTAACTATTTGATGGTTGTTGCTTTTTTGTCACAATAAAAATATTAAATTTTTTATTAGAATTCACAGAATGAAATTGTTCTTTTGAAGTCCTATAGGAATCAATGTAAGAATTTAAAAATCTTAATAAGCTGTAAAATCAACTTATAGTGTGCATCCCTAGCCAGTAGCATATTTTTTATATGAATATAATCAAAACACGAATGAAATGTAGACAATAAATATATGTATGCGCAATCAGTGTTGGTTGATATGTTATATTATATATTATAAGGTGTCATTTTAATCTGTTTAACACCGTTTCCTCTTATATGGCAACTGTCTCCTAATAAAGAACACAGATTAAATACAGAATGAAAATGTGCATAGTCTACATTTGTTATTTTTTATGTTTATATAAAAGAAAATAATTGAAAATGTCTACGTATATTGCGTGATATAAAGTGAATATAAGTAAATTTTGGTGGAGATACGCAAGCCGCCGATATATATATATTATAAATGTGTAAAAACAGTAAGTCAAGCGTGGATCGATCCTACATAAATTTGTATATTAACGTAAAAATTCTTATAAAAATAGCAACACTTGGAAATCTTGTATGATAACTGTTTATCGCATTTGTATATTTTGTTGTATTATTTTGACATTTTAATATATGTACATGGATAAAATTGATATCGGCAAATCATTCAGAACATGTTGTACCATAGTAATAAATTATGTATTTAAACCTATGCTGTGTTTTATTTATATTATATGTAGTATATGATACACTTTTAACAAGAAAGCTGGTCAGTAACATACGAAAGATTTTAGAATTCGTGAAGAACAATGAAAACAATCGCTTTAAGCAAAGATTTTTGGCATATAATTAATTTTAACTGATTTCACATTGTGATTTTGAACATTATTCAAAAACAACAAAATGGGTCGATGACTTTATGTTGAGTTCATTAAGATGAAAATCGAATCATGACACGTCATTAAAGGAATCATTTTATAGCTTTAAGTCATCTGCATGTAATGAAATGATAAAAATTACCAAAATTTACCGTGCCATAGAAAATGGTAGAAAATTATTTTTGACAGCCATCTGACATTTGAGGAAGTAAATATACATCAAAATTTTCAAGAAAAATACTATTTAATATAAGATGTCCCTTGCAAAATACCTAGCTCTCGATAAAATAGCCAATTTTTTCACCATTATTAAACAAAATGGTGGAATAAGAGGATCTTTGTACAAAATGTACAGGTAAATACAAATTTATTATGTAATTTTTACAATAGGTTACTTGCGTGCGTTCTTTTAAAACAATTTCCCAATTTATTAGCTATGCATATAACATAATTGTCCGTTTAATGACTGGATAATGGTACTTTACACCCAAGAATCTAAGTTTAAAACATGTTGTACTTGTACAGTTGTACCTTATGTTTTTCCTAAGTGAGGACGACAAACATTACAATAAAACATATTCAGTAATCCCATAGAACTCCCACAGAATAATCATAAAGCTTGGCTAATAACTACATTTGATCATAATTTTGCAGACAAGATGACTTGAAAGACGGAGTGTTGGTGGGTCAAGATGAATTTGGGAACAAATATTATCAGAATCCTCGTTTCTTCTACGGTCGCAACAGATGGGTTGAATATTCTGACAACTTTAACATGGATTATGATGGTAGTCAGGTACAGTATAGTTTTTTAAAAACTAATAACATTCATAAAAACTGAAGGTGGCTATCCACTGTCAATATATATTGTCCTCTCATTCTCTTTATGAAATAAGATACAACAAGTGTTAAATCAGTGGAATTTCACAGTAATATTGAAAATATACAATATTATTTCATGCCTCTGCAAATTTGAAAATTACCAATCATAACTTGAAAATATCATAACAAAACTATTATTAATATTTCTTTTTAGGTTCCCGCTGAATGGTTTGGATGGCTTCATTATAAAACAGATTTACTACCTCATGAGGTATGTAACTTTTCTTTTACACCACACATGTATCAAATAAATATTACAATATAACAAGTTGGGCTGGCTCACTGTGGCCGCCCTCTGCCCTACGATGGGGCCATAGGACTTTGAGTCAAGTCAAGTAAGTCAGTAGGGATGTTAGTCTAAGTCCAGGTTAGGCGACTGGTTAGGGTGTTGGTTAAAAGGGGGCACCGCAAGCGCCAGCATGTGATATAAAGTGGTGCCTGCAGACTATAAGACTATCTGTGGAAGATTTCTCCCAACACCCAAAAAAGGGTGGGCCTAAATTATCTCGCCCAGGGCATCAGATTTGCTAAAACCGGCCCTCAATGTAACAAGTTTTTATTTTATTGACAAGCATTACTGTAATTTATAGTGGCCACAATCAATATTTATTTTAAAGTAATTTTGTACAAATTGAGAGTTGATTATTTCAGGACCCAAGCAGGCCTAAATACAAATGGATGGTGCCATTTACAGAGAATATGTCCGGGACAACTGGACAATACACTCCTTATAGTACAACAAGGCCAAAGGTTGAGCCATGGTTGCCCCCACGTAAGAGCAGTGTGTAGCTATAAATTATGCAAATGCTTATCACATGGTTAAACCATGTCCGCTATAAATGTTTTAAATAGATCAATGGTTCCTATGTAAACAGTTGTAATTCAAAATTTTGTTATTTTCTTTATGTTTAATTTTTTAATTAACTTTATTTACAATATGAGATTTTGTCTACCATTTTTAGCTATTGCATGAGTAATTTGTTGTAATAATATTTTTAAAGTTTTATACTTACAATTGTATACATCGGAACTATTGAAATAAATTGACTTCAAGCATTGTATATTTTTAGTTTTAAGTAGCAAGTGAAATAAATCAATAAATTATGCAAGAAAACATATGAGTTTCATTAATAATATAGTTCATTGAATGTGATATTTTGATATAAAGATGTTTTGTATGTTGCCAGTTTTTGTACAGGAAAAAAGAATTAGAAAAAAAAGCAAATAATACACAAGTTCAAAAATAGATGTATATATATTTTTTTGATCTTGTTACTTCTCTAAGTGACATAGATCAACGAGATGACTCTACCATTACTTTTAGCTATATTATACATTTAGTGAACGCAGCACGAATATTCGTGACCATCGTAAAACAAAAACTGAATTAAAATTTGTGTATTGTGTGTTTGGCGTTCACCAAAAATCTCATACTAATTTTGACAATCGGCGATGACGACACGTAGGCGATTGTCACAAATATTCGTGCTATGCCCACTGTACTTCTCTTGGCACATATTTTACATTTCAGCATTTCTTCATAAGTGATTGCTTCATTTTCAACTAGTCATGGGTATCTCAACTAAAATTGATGACCTGCAGATCAGCCCACGGCTCATTAAAGCAGATCAGTGAATCGGCTCGCAACTCAACTTGTACCTACTTAGATCGCTATGATTTGGATTTCCAGCTGCTAGTCACTAGGCAGCTTGCTACTCATCAACTCACATAGTTATAGAACGTAGCGATGAGCCGAGTGAAACGCAGCTCAACGGTTTAAGTTCATGTGAGTGGAACTTTTGAACCGGTTCAGAGCTTACACATGGCTAAGTTATAACGTATTAAGGAATGAGAGTACAAGAAGAATCTTTATTGGAATAGTTGAGGCGCACCTTTTATCACATAAATACTTCGGTACTCCAACGGTTCAAACTTCAAAAGACCTTTAAGATTCAGGTTCTCACAGTAAGTACGCTAGATATTGTACTCTCTATTCCCAGATCAAATTTCGGCAACTTGATAGATAACAATCCGGAATGAGTTAATTCATATCTTATTGAGGCTTGTTATTTTATTATTTCTACATACAAACCTGTTTGGGGCTACGGGTCCCGAACAATTGTTCTCAAAGTTTTATCTGCGAATTCTTGTCGGATGTTGCAGCATATTCGATAGTTTTTTTTTCATGTATAGAAATATATCTACGCAGTGTCAAATTTATCATCTTCATCGTGCTCTCTTCCCACCAAGAGGCGGCACAGTATGTACTTTTGTTCCGTAAATCTCTGTAACTCGTCATATTTGAATTCACTCCCTTAGGGTCCGTTCAGACAGACCGAGATGGATAACAAAGCAGATTTTTATCGCAAATTAAATTGTACTTTAAACGATTGGAACAAGGTAAATCGAATGTATAGTCCAATTTCTTTACAGTGATTAAATTAATTATTACTTTAAATATTCTTTATATCTTCGGTGTATCTGATAAAGATAGTGCTTCAATATTATATTATATGTTATTTCTTGAATAATAAAAGTTTATTATCAAGTAAAGTTTGAGATTTGCTGACATGAAACAACTGCTCACAATATACCTACACCGCACAAGGCGATAGCTTGAGCTTTTGAACTCATTGTTTAAAATACGACTTTATTACATAACTGTCAAAGCTTATATTCACTTAAGCATGACTACAATTATGGTCATACTAATACAATTATTTTAGTTGTTTAAAACTGAACCTAATATCCTACTATCTTAAGTGTTAAAATTGTTGATAGATTTATTTAAGTCTGTATATGGATGAAACTTTTTTGTTCTCACAGGTAAAAATATCTTGGACTCGAATCCCATCCAGTCTAAACGCGACGCCGTTCAAAACGGTTGCTTTGAAAATGTTTATCAAACGTTGTTATGATTCAATATAATTATTGAATAACAGTTATGTTAAACAGTTTTAAAGAGGTAGTATGAAATAATGCAACTAAAAGTTCAGTGAATGTTTGTAAGCCGACTTCGTGACATGTGTTCGACAGACAGAACAGTACGGTTTTGAAATAGTTTAGTGTACGGATGTAGGCTTGCAAAAAGTGTTTGAGAAAACGGAAATTTTATTTGAATATTAATTTTATGGTAAGTTATTGACTTATATAATAACTATTGTAACGCAAACATATCGATGTTACCGTAAGATATCTGTCGGTTAAAGAACAAAGGCTAAAAGGTAAACTAGTTTGGAAAGTAGTCGGTTTTTAGTAATAATTTGTATCTCGTAAGATCAACCGTTGGGATGTAATGTAAAGGATCTTTGATCTTTTGCTTTGAGAAAGTGTACGTGGGCGGTAAGCTAGGGTTGTACAAGAATATTGATGTAAAATTCTTGACAATTTCTGTGAAGGTAATTGGAATAATATTTCAGTTCATTTGAGTTACGTAAATGTCGACGGTAAACGTGATAAGTTAAAGCTGAAATAAACATGATCTATCAGGTATGTTAAGCTGAATTTCTATTTGTTTCTGTAATGTTTCAAATACCAAATCAATTTTTTAAACAAATATAACTTAATATTGAACTGTAGTTTAAAATTGCATCGAGATATTTGTAACTTTATGGAAATATAACGATGAAAGATAAAGTTTCGGCAAATATCTTAATTTTTAGTAGTTTACAAAAGGATCAGGAACTGATGTAAATATGATAAGAGATATCCTTCATCGTTTGTTGTTTAAGATTATAACTAACACAATTGTTGAAGATTTCGTTTTAAAAAAGTGTTATTATTCTCAAATGTTTCTCAGTGATTTGGGACTTTTTTGGAGATACATTTTTATCTTTTGCTACGATAAATCAGCGGTAAATTGCTATTTCTAAAAGGAAGAATTATTTTAATAAATACTTTGATACTACGACAAATCAAATATATATGATAGTTTCTAAAAGGAAGATTTATTTTAATGAATGCTTTAAGTATGTTTGATATTGAGAAGAGTGATGTTTAAATCAAATGATATTTTCCCACAGTAACATGGTTGTGTTGTTACTCAGAGTGGAACTAATTGCTCGGTCATTGCCTCTCACGATTGTTTTTACTATTGTTTTATAAATATTAAATCACGTGTTGCCATATCTTATAAATATTATAAATGTGAATGTATGGATGGATGTTTGTTAGAAGGTATCTCTAAAATGGTTGCATGGATTTCAATGAAATTTGGCATAGATTTAGAACACATAGGCTTATTAGGTTTTTTTCTTATTTCCGCTCGGACGAAATCGTGGGAGACAGCTAGTGTTTTATATAGAAAAGGTATAACGTAATCATTTTGTAGTCGTGTTTGTGAAATATAAAACGTTAATATTACATTAGTTACATTTAGTTCGTTCGGCTTTTTTGCCGGAAGACAGGGCTATATGTATAGTATGGTTTGAAATACTAAAACTCTATCGATGGCCAGCCTCAATTGAAATAGAAGAGGACTCCGGGATCTCCGAGAAACGTATCGGAAATAAATTCGTTCGGCTCCTTAGGGACCATTAACTCTTTCTTGCGTTACGGGATTAGAATATTCCTAATAGTTCTTTCTGTAGCAGATACTAATGTAACTGTTACTTCAGGGATTATAAATCAATGGGAAAATACTGTCAATTTAACAATTGAAGACAAGACATGATATCAAATCTCTGATACGCTTTGGTCGATGATTTTTGGATGTCAAAATAAGGTCCTACTTACCGTTGGTTTCTGAGACTAAAATTTATGTATAAAACATATCATCATCCTTGTCATCATCTTTAAGAAAACAGAGATAACAATATATATTAAACTGAGATTTATTCCTCAGAAAGTCACGGTTAAAGTGTCACTTAGACTTGTATTTCTTCCGTAATATCCTGTAGATTCGAGAACATCGCTCCTATGTAATTATTTCCTGCACAGATATGTGGTTGTAATTCCTTTCTACTTCAACGATTATCGGTTCTCACGTTTAATCTATATGAAGGAATAAGCCATTGCATAGTTGACAAGTCCCTAGATTTAGTAGTTATTTTCATTTGAGTCGTATAATATTTGTACGTGTTAGGCTACTATTTGTTACGTACACGTTAAGATAGGATAATGAGTGGCCATGACTCATTGAGATCGAATGTGTCATCACTTATTACATTGTTCCTTTTTCTCGCTTAGCTGACATTTCTTTCGTGAATAAACGGTTTAACTTTTTTTGATAATAGGTAAAGGTATGTTGGTGATGTTCCAATTAATTTAAATATTTACAAGATAGTAATTTAAACGTATGGTCGTATTAAATGGAAATAAGAAATTATGTTCACTCATTTCACTGACTGCTAATTATTGTTTATCTTACTTATGTTATAAATGCGAATGTTTAGATGCATGGACGGATAGATGTTTTTTAAAAGGTCTGAATATATTGGTGATAAAGAAGTTTTATTTATTTATTTATTTATTTATTTGGCATACATGTAGATCACAGTCTGGGAGAAGACATAAACGACTTACAAAGTTTTTTTTTTATTCAGCACAGACGGAGCCTCGGGCGAAGGTTACAAGCATGTTTGTATTTGATGAGTCTGTGATTACAGGTCTTAAAAAGTTAAATTGTTTAAACCGACTTGTTATATTCTCATTTCAGTTGAATTTAACTATACATTTACATATAAGAATAAAGTTAATTGTCACATTCAAGACTTGCCACTACAGACAATTCACACAGCACAAATTTGATGACAAAATGTCTGACATAGATACACAAATTGACGTCAAGCGGGCTGCAATTGACCCAGCGCTTGTGTTAATTAAAAACGAGACCAAGTGTTGAACTAATTTAGAAGAACAATAAGCAAGTACACAATGAACTGCTTCGAACAATCACGACAATGAAAACAGGATTTATTAAATTCTTATTCAACCCTCGTCCATAGGCGATGTTAATATAAACCGTTGGTAAATAAGCCTTTCTGACGGATTAAATTACGAAGCAAGATAAATATATGCAGCTTTTATAAGTACTAAGATTTAAGTTTTTAAGTCTTTATAAATAAGA